CAGGCTGGTCTCTCAAGACAGGGTCTCTTTCTCTATGTACACCAGGCTGGTCTCTCAAGACAGGGTCTCTTTCTCTATGTACACCAGGCTGGTCTTTCACTTAGAGATCTACTTGCTTCTACCTTATGAGTGCTGAGATTAAAGAGGTGAACACCACCACCACCTGACATAAATGTCTCTTTAAGACAATGTTTCAAAAGCGCATACCATCATTAACTCGATAACATAAGTTACATTTCCACCTTCTTTGATCAAGAAAGTTGACAAAAGGGTTGATGTAAGTCCTGCATGAACGGCATCTCACAATTGTACTGGAGGTGACCACAGGCAATTGCTAGGGAAAAAAAAAAAATCAGAGCAAAGTTGTTAAAGGCAATGATTGTTAAGTTGACCAAGCAGACATTAATCTATCCCTTCTAAATAACTAGCAAGACATTTTAACTTTCGAGGGAAACCTAGGGCAAAAAGTGTGGGCACAGGCTCACACCTGGGGCCTGGGTGTAGGGAAGAGGAAATGGGCAGCAGCAAGTCTGAGGCCAGCCTGGGCAGCAGAGCAAGAGCTAATCTCAGAACACCACATGGGGGTGGCATCCACAATAAAATGTATCACTTAGAAAAGTACTCATCTTTTCATGAAGCATTCACACTGCAGACCAAGGCAGTACCCTATACAATGTGTTTTCAGGGACAAGCGACAAAGGAAATAGGAACAACATTCCCTGTTGATTAGACAGGTCTCACCATGTTGCCCAGACTAGTTTCAAACTCCTGGTCTCAAGAAATCCTTCTGTCTCAGCTCTCAGAGGAGAAAGTACATTCTAAAATAAAGAGGAATGAAACTGCTATATAGTCTTGATTTTATATTATTTTATTATATTAAGAGGCCTTAATTTTCCACAACTATTAAAAGCTAAACAGTATTCAAAGTTTATCATCTATACTAAGAGTTACGGGACAGGTGGCCAGCTGAGTGGGTAAAGGCACTTTGCAGCGCAGGCTGACAGCCTGAGTTTGATCCCCAGAGCCCACGTCAACAACTGGATGGTGTGGCAAGCATCTGTAATCCCAACAAATCTATGCGGGGTGGGAGGTGGAGACAGGAGAACCACCCAGAAATCCTTAGGCCAGCTAGCCCAGAGAGTTCACAGCACAGCAGAAGAAACAAAACAGATTGTCTCAGTAAGGTTGGGAGGTGAGAACTGACTCTCAAAAATGGTTTTCTTTTTTTTTTTTTTTTTTTTTTTTT